TATATGCCGATCCAGAGCATCCCAAACATGCTGTATGGGTGACATGTCCGGTGAGTATGCTGGCCATGCAAGAACTGGGATGTTTTCAGCTTCCAGGAATTGTGTACAGATCCTTGCAACATGGGGCCGTGCATTATCATGCTGCAACATGAGGTGATGGTCGTGGATGAATGGCACAACAATGGGCCTCAGGATCTCGTCACGGTATCGCTGTGCATTCAAAATGTCATCAATAAAATGCACTTGTGTTCGTTGTCCATAACATACGCCATACACGCTTCATCCTTGAAGAGAACACCTCTACAAAGTGCCAGATGCCATCGAATTTGAGCATTTGCCCACTCAAGTCGGTTACGACGACGAACTGCAGTCAGGTCGAGACCCCGATGAGGACGACGAGCATGCAGATGAGCTTCCCTGAGACGGTTTCTGACAGTTTGTGCAGAAATTCTTTGGTTATGCAAACCGATTGTTGCAGCAGCTGTCCGGGTGGCTGGTCTCAGACGATCTTGGAGGTGACGATGCTGGATGTGGAGGTCCTGGGCTGGTGTGGTTACACGTGGTCTGCGGTTGTGAGGCCGGTTGGATGTACTGCCAAATTCTCTGAAACGCCTTTGGAGATGGCTTATGGTAGAGAAATGAACATTCAATTCATGGGCAACAGCTCTGGTGGACATTCCTGCAGTCAGCATGCCAATTGCACGCTCCCTCAAAACTTGCGACAACTGTGGCATTGTGCTTTGTGATAAAACTGCACATTTTAGAGTGGCCTTTTATTGTGGCCAGCCTAAGGCACACCTGTGCAATAATCATGCTGTCTAATCAGCATCTTGATATGCCACACCTGTGAGGTGGATGGATTATCTCGGCAAAGGAGAAGTGCTCACTAACACAGATTTAGACAGATTTGTGAACAATATGTGAGAGAAATAGGCCTTTTGTGTACATAGAAAAAGTCTTAGATCTTTAGTTCAGCTCATGAAAAATGGGGACAAAAACAAAAGTTTTGCATTTATAATTTTGTTCAGTGTATATTAGTGCTGTCAATCGATTAAAAAAAATAACTAAACAATCACAATTTTTTCTGAAATTAATCGTGATTAATCCCACCTAACATTAAAGTGTTTAAATATACTTTTATATTGCAATAATTTCACATACAACCTTGAAATGAATGTACAAACAACATAAAGACAGTGTATTTTTCAATATTGGTTTAATGGCATCTTTTTTTTTATGACTGAAGGCCAGTATCAATGATACCAATACTGATTTCTCTATAACCCCCCCAATATTTAACCATCGACTATAGCCATTCAACATTACAGTATAATTGAGATCTATCAATTTTAACTTTTATTAGAATTTAATATAAAATAAAATAACTTCTAATTGAAGTGAACTTAAAACAATCTTTACATAAACACATTATAATAAATGTCATATTTACCTGTGCCCTTCAGCAGAAATGTACAGACTATCTGTACAGATTACAGAAATATCAAACACTAAATTCTAAATTAAATATAGAGTCATCCTTAAAGCTATACAAGTAATTTTTTCCTCTTTTTTTCTTTGTCCTTTGATCAGTAGACATCACAGCAGCTGGTTATTAGGTTATTTTGGCTGTTATTTATTTAAGAGCTGCCTCTGCTGAACGTGACGCGGATCTGTGACACGCATCATATTTTCTCTCAACTCTTTTTACCTTTACTGACCCACTTCAGGTCTTAAATTCTCTATTAAATCGGGTGTGCTAGATGAGTGAGACAGTGCTGGGCTGCTCCAGGACAGTTTTGAAAACCATTTCAGAGGCTTGTTTTTAAATGTGACTCATATAAAATATATTACATGCATGCACAGTTTTAAGGCAGCTTTAATCGCCTTTTTGGTAACTTCATGACTTTACTGACCATGACATAGCATGCATGTAGTTTAATTTGCGCTTTGATATGAAAGGATACAGACTACAGCGCGTGCCTGCGCCTTTGTGCGTGTAATTGAAGATCATGTGCTGCGAACACAGTGTTTCCGCGCTCGCTTGGCTTACGCCTGCCGCTGAAGTGAAGTGAAGCGCGCGTCTGAAACGTCTCCCGTTCTCAGTCGTTCTGCGACTGAATAAATGCACGTCTTGTCAAGAGAAAAAGTGACAGAAGCAGCAGTTGTGAGTGGGGTGGCCAACCCTAGCCCCGCCCCTGCGTTAATTGCGTTAAATATTTTTAACGCGTTTAACTGAAAAAAAATTAATCGCATGCGTTAACGCGCTAATTTTGACACCACTAATATATATATATATATGTTAAGATGCATTTTTGTTTCTTCAAAATTATGAATGTCAGTTGTTTTGGCATCATTTACAGGATGCTACACTATTAATTTGATATGTGATGTATGAAAAAACATAAGGAAAAATCAAGGTAAATGTTTTATCAACATTTTGGAAAAACGTACCTATACCTACTTTTTCATACAATACACTGCGATTTCTAGCTGAAATTAGCACTGGCAAGGAAACACCAACAGCGCTTATTTTTGCAAGGTTCTTTACACTAAAAGTAAAGTCTGCAAACTAAAACATTTTGATGGTTGCATCACATAACCAGCTCCATATGTTTGACTTTTCTTATGTAGTAAACTTGCTCAGTGACTCACCTGGTACAGCATTGTACTTGTGATCATGGCACTTGGTTGTGACACCTGTGAAACATAAGTCATTATAAAACAGATCAAAAAGCCCTGTAGAAGCAAGCTAAATGGCATAGTTGGCTTTGTTCATCCCTTTTCTTAATGCTATCAGCTAGGTTTAGTGTAGGGTTTAGGGGGTACGTTATTTTTAAACAAGATAAAGCATTAACGTTTAAGCACTACTCACCTGACATTTCATTTCTGAATTGCCGCGATATGTACAACTATCAGTGTAATAAAATTACTAGATTCATGTGCATCTGATTCAAATAAACAACACACACTTTTAGCATCACTCACTTGACATTTTGAAGTAAAAGTGTCACAAAACATACAAGAAGCAACTTAATCTATATTTACAGAAATGCTTACAGATTTTATTTATTTTTTCTTATAGCCTATGTCATGCCCACCTGAAATTGGCCTGACAACACAAAGAGCCTCATTCTGCTCTCAAATCACCCTTGACAGACATAATTTGATAAACAAAACGTGAAGGAAAACACAATATCCATAAGTACTTAACAAAAACATGAAAGCATTCAAAGCACAAAAAAAGCATGTGGTATGAATAGTATGCAAGTATTCAACAGAAACTGAAAGTAAGTACACTAAACATAATAAAGACAAAAATCTTTGTTCATTTTCCAGTTTTCTCTCTACCGCCTGTTTCAGCTGCCCAGCACAAATCATTGTGACTTATAAGCATATTTGCTTTTCAGACATATGGCACACATGCATACACACACACATACACAACAATCCACCTGCACTCAGAGTCCCACAATCAGCCTTTTATTATTTTGTTCCTAATGAAAGACTGCTGATCTATCATAGCCTCATTAATCATTGAAAACTGCAAAAAAAGCCATAAGTCATAAGCATCACATGCTTTTGTACGGGTGGCTTCAGAAGTCTGCTGTGGCAGCAAAGATGCATAAATATATATTAAGCTCTGCATTATGTTAGCACATAAAAATGTATTTATCTATCCTTCTGGACTTCTAGATGGATGGTCTGGTAGTATATAGGTGTGTCTGTTTTATAACATTTAGAATGTTTATAGTAGGACTGTCACTATCCAGTTTCAGCTGTTCATTATTTATAATACAGAATTTAGCACATCATTCATTGAAAAACATTAAGCTATATTAAATACAGGAAAATAATTGTTTATTGTTAGTTCATGATGCATCCCTTAACATTAACAAATGTACCAAATATTACCAAATGTCCTTATTAATTAACAGCAAGTACATGTGACTTATGGCACATACCAGTTTTTACACATGTTTTTACACACTTTTTTTTTTTAAAGCGCAGCGCTGAAACCCTATTGTAATAAAATTCTCAAAGATCAGCATCGCATATAACTCTTAAAATGCTTGTCATAAACTCAATTGTCTTATACACTGTAAAAAATATGTGACATTTACGGAAAAATACAGGCTGCTGTGGTTGCCAGGACTTCACCGTAAAAAATATGGTAGCAATATTTTAGGTTTTACAGACTTGACTTAAATTCACAATAAAATACCGTATTTCATTAACTGATGTAATGTTAATAAACCAACATATTGAAGTACTAATATCTGTTTTGAACTAATGCACTGAATGCACCAAAAACTGGTGGTGATGAGAAAGTCACATGATGAACCAAAGCTCATCACAAATAGCTTCTTTTCTACGAGCTGAGGAGGGCAGTACTTATATATAGAAGGTGCATTCATTCACACAAACACTAAACCCCATCATGGTGACACATGATAATGAAATAATGCAATACACATTAATTTAACAACATTAGATGTAAGATTAAACCCTAATGCAGGCATGTGCAGCCCTGGAGAACACGTGTCAGCCCTGTGGCAGTAAGGCTTGTAAAAATGTCTAAGAAAAAAAACTAAGAAGAAACATGTTATTTCAACAAAAAAAAACATCAAATATGAAGTGTCATGCAGGGAATTCTGGGAGTGTGAATTTACGGTTTTTCACTGTAAATTATACAATGACTTTTTATTTTTCACTTCCAAAAAACATATTTTTAACAGTATTATACTGTAAAATTACATTAAATGTAATTGCATTTATTCACCGAATATAGTATGGAAACTTACTGTTAACTAGTTAACAGGTTTTTACTGTAGCATTTTTACAGTCTTTTACTGTTAAAATCACAACATTTTTTTACAGTGTATCATTAAAATCCTTGGGTCAAGACAAACAAGATCAATCAGTATTAGTGTTCAAAGTGCCACGGCTGTCTATGAGCACATTCATGTATCTCGAAAAACATTGCCACCATCAGCCAATGAAGTTTGAGCACCTATTAGACAGGGTTAATAGAGGCCGATCGGAATTTAATTTGGTGGGCATGTTTCACTTAAGGCCCTAAAGGTCTGTGATAAATTTGAAATAAATCAGCACACAGTATTCATATCATATGATAGATGACCTCATTCTGAACAACTTTGCCTCAAGAACCACTGCTGTCAATCAAATTGTTAGTTAATTACTCAAGATTATTTAAAAACCTACTTTGTGATCTAGTCCTAGGTTTTTTGCTTTACCTCAAGAATGCCTTAAAGGGGTCATATGATGTGATTTCAAGTTTTCCTTTCTCTTTGGAGTGTTACAAGCTGATTGTGCATAGATAAGATAACCAGCTTCATCACTGTGTCTGTCACGCGACTCTGTTCCCCTTTCGGGCTCTGT